ATTGTGATGAAATTGAAAGCGAGCGTTCGTCTAAACGCACGGAAGAAGATCCGTTTAAACTGATCTTAATGATACCTACAACCGTAACAAAGCATACCCACAAATAAAAAATAAAATAATTCTCGAATATTTGGCGAGGGCAAAAAAATGGGAAGGTTTTATGGTACGATAATTTAATGGACTTTTTATCGTGCCTGCATAGACGTGAACTTCGATGAGAATATGTATATAAAGGCTATATATTCACCACCTTGAAATATTATGAAGTACAAGTTTCTTATTTTTTTTTATTAAAATAGTATTTTTTCCCTTTAATGTTCAGTATTAATTTTCATTCTCTAGCTTCATATACCAATGTCATCTGGAATAATATGTTCAAATATGTTCTATTAACTCCTCTGCACTAAGTAATGGGATTTTCTCGTGTAGTGCGCGAAGAAGTGTCTTGACAAAATGACTTTATATTAAAAAACATAAAATCGACGACAAAACATTTGAATATCAGTAGGATAATTCTTACCACAACACATCCCAACAGCCTGACGGCTACTGCCTGATCAAGTCAAGCCTGCAGAAACTGATCTTAAGTTTATTTTAAAAATTAAATCTTTAGTTTATTTGCTCCATTATTCGCTAATTGTCATTGCAATTGAATACACTAACCATTAGAAAACACTAAAGCAGAATTTTAACTTGAGAAGAGTGCAGAGGTTTTTTATGTGAAAAGGTGGAATGCGAGCACGCGGTGCACCTGATGTTAAGTGATAACCGCCGCCCAATACTCGATGCAAATGTCTAATTGCATCACAAAAGGAGTAGAAACACTTATAAAAGGATTGCAGATGTGTTGCCACTTCAATTAAGTGCGCCCCGGCCACCCAATTGACCAGAAGAAACGCAGAACTATAACACTCCCACATTACGCCGGTCTTCTGTGAGGTCGTGGTACCCGCACGGACCTGCCCATCCCTGACGCTACCGCAGTTAAGTTTATTCGTTCGTTCCTAAAGAAACAGAAGCTGTTTCGTGCTACGCTTTTGTCCCTTCACTCACACAGCCACGCATAGATCCACGTCGTTGTAGGGTCTTTCTCAGTTATCGTTTAACTGTTCGATTTAACCGGAACGGATCTAAGAAGTTTCTGATATCGATAATACTCATTAATATTATCATGAATCGCTTGTGTGTTATTTCGTACCTTTCAATATTAAAATTATAAAGAAAGGAAAATTCTACATATTGACATGATATTTTGCCTCTGTGGTCGCTTAGTGAAGGCTGTCGTAGGTCGTTTGCCGGGCCAACTTTTGACAGAAGCGAAAATTTCGACCTTTTTAATACAGCGATATAGGAAAACAGCGCGAGGCAACCGGCATTGCAACGAGGAAACAAAATTTAATATACAAAACAGCCCGATCTATGCCGTAATACCGTCTAAACAGAAGGGAATCCCATCACTGGGACGTATGTATAAGCGGATATACATATTATGATTGCATATATGTATGTGGGATATATGCGTAGGCTGTTTCTGTCAATTACTTACTTTCAATCAATTATTTTTTTTTTTTCATTTGCCTTTATTGACAAAATATTTTTTTAGTACGAAGTCTAAAATTATATAACACAGTGTTTATTATTGTATTCAAGAATGATGTAAAAACGGCCGCTATAGCGAAATTTACGTGCAATTCCTGCAAGCGGATCCCCGTAAATATATTCCGGGCAGTAAAAACGAGACGCATTCGGTTATAAGATTTTTACACCGACCTCGTAACAGCGCTGGCTACTGTGGATTTACGGCATAGATTCCCTTGGAATTGCATCTCTTTTATGACAGTAAAGCTGCAGCGCTTTTCGAAGTCCATCAAATAGTTTATAAATATTTTCGGCCTTTAATCGCCGCTCCTTTGTTTTCTATTTAAACTGGATGAAAAACTAAGTTCTGTTGTTAACTTATCAGTATGTTGCTGAACCAGCTTTGTATTTGTAGTTTATTATTGTAACAGTTCCTTATTCCGAAGCAAATTAACAGTAAAATGTGTCTTAGGTGCTTTGAAAGTTAGACTATGACCCGGTGGCGCAGTTGTTAATATACTGTCTTCGGCGTCGGGGGTCTTGGTTCGATTCCCACACGGGACAAGTATTTATATGACCCACAGATAAATAATTTTTCCGGATGGTGTTTGCTCTCAAGCAGGGTTGACGCCAGGCAGGCGGCCAAAACCTGATGAGTTCCTAATAAGGATATGGAATACCATAGCAAATTAAAAGTAAAACGTGCTTGTAAGAAAAATGTGCTTGTTAAAATACAATAAAAACATAATTGGTGCACACTTTTACTGAGTGTTACAAGAAATATACAGCATTTATAAAAATAGTATTTTTAAATAGTTTGTTAACCGCGTTAACCACAAGACTAGTTCGTATGGGAGTGATAAATGTATTAAATATGTATGAATAGTTAACTGTTCTGCCGGCTAGGTTAAAAGAAGGGACACTTTTCGTCGGTGTGCCTAATAACCGTTTGGCTCAGTGATTAAACGCGTCTGTTTGCGAATCCGGAAGACGTAGAATCAATTACAGCAGCAGAGGAAAAATTTTCGTCCGTTTTTTTCTACACATATTAACGAATGATACTTTTTTATTTGAAAGCTGGTGCATGCCTTGTGGTCCCATATAATTTCATTGGTACTGGATCTTGGGCTCCGGTGATACTTAGGGAAATCCTGAAAAACGGCCGGTTTTGTTTTTAGTTAATAAAAAATGGACTTGTAAATAGGTAAGTTTCAAGCAATGACAAGGAAGTCCAAGGTCGCTAGCCGGAGCATTTCCCGGCACCGACGTAATTCGCCGAAATGATTTCGAGTCCCGACTCCGGGGCACTTTAATTAAACTAAGGTAAGCGTCACGAACGTTAAATGTAGACGGGGGCGGCCATTGTAAATTCCACCCGCGTTTCAGTTTCATGGCTTTAGTTGGAAAACGCCGTCGGGACTTTTATGGGCAATTTCGGTTCAGACGTTTTGTTATATTACCAATGCTTTTAAGGTGCTGCACCTCGCTCCGGTAAACATATGTGCAGTTTTACGAGGCACTAGTTTATGGAATATGTGTAGTAATGCTCGCAGAAGCGTTAACTGCAGGTTGGCAGCGGGGCGTTCGTCTTCTCGACGGGCAGATGTGTCTTTAATCTGCACTCGATTGTACCGCGACGCTGCTTAGGAGGGGGCCGAGTTCTTTTGAAGTACAGTTGTAAGCATAGGAAATGAATCTTTTATGTCTCGGTAACCGGACGTTCGAAACGGAAAACCTGCTTGCTGCACGATGCGCGCGCACTGCGACAGCCCAAAAGCGACATGATGAAGTTGCTTGCAAAGCGTTATTACCAATGCAATGAATAACAACTTTGACGTTTATCTATATTACCAAGTTATTTATTCAAACCGTTATCAATTGCATTTCATGTCTTTTTCACAAGCACAACGGATAAAATTTGATGTTATTTTTCTTTTGTTACGCTAAAGACGTATAACTTCTTACGTGCGTACTTTTTTATTACATTTTTTTTTCAAGGTATACGATAATTAAAAAAGAGTGACTTCCTTTATCGACAAGTGTCTTATCTTAATAGTCTTTCTCTAGCAATATGAAACCTCTCGCCTGTAATTTTCTTTATACCGGCGATGCAACTTTAGTGTGTTGTGTTAGTTAACTGAACGTAGAGTTTGACTTAATATATAGCGTAAGAATAAAGGTACGAATAAAGGATGAATTTTAGAATCGGTATTAATTTTTTATCGTGTTATTAACACTTTTGTTGCATTTTTATGTAAAGGGCAAACGAGAAGGCGGTTCGCCCGATGTTAAATAATCACCGCCACACACGGACATATAAACAGGGCAACTTAGGGCTCACAGATTCGTCAACAACCTATAGTAAATTGGACCCGGTTACCTCACCCATCAGGTGAAATGCTAAAGTACTTTCATTTCTCCTTTGTTCTATGAGGCCATGGTACTACTCCAGACGAGCCTACCCATTCGTGTAACATGAATAACTGCTGCCTGGCCGTACCACAGTCCACAGTTGTTAATTCCAAATGTAACACTTTGCTTCGTCGTTAGGCGTAAAGACTGAATTGTTTTATTAAATAATATCAGGACCATAATATTATAATCGCCGTGAATAGTAAACAGTTAATATTGTATTGAACAAGCTATAATCCGGAATATATATGATTATTTTTCATACCTACACGGATGTGACATCCTTAACTAATTTTAGAAGGGGGTATCGTTTTACTCAAAAGAAAAATTTCTAAAAGATGAACTTCTAATGACACTGACGATCGTGCCTATATTGGTTTGACAATTTATTAATAGTATTTTGCCATCAGTCTGTGGTTATCCATTTCTAGATTAGGCCTTTTTTACATATGTACGATATGATGTACGGCTTGTATCGATCTTTGATTCTTATGACCCCGTTGCCGCAGTTACTGAACGGTAGAGTTCAAGGCTGCCGATTGTGGGTTCTAATCCCACCCACAACAAGTGGTGTGACCTACATATATTGACCCGTTATATACTTTATTCGATTACGTGTTATATACAAAACACCATATTTTTATGTGAGAAGGGGGCAATCGAGCTGGCCGTTCACCTGATGTTAAGCGATAACCGCCACCCATGGACATTTGCAACACCCGTAGGGTTCCGGATGCGTTGTCATCTTTTAATAAAGTAGGTCCCGACTACCCCACTCACCAGACGAGACCAAGTGTATCGCTTCCACTTCACGCCGGTCTTCTGTGATGTCGAGGCGCCTCCCCGGACCAACCTGTCCATTCGTGCAACAGTAAAGACTGTTGCGTGGCCCTACCACAGTTTATTTTTCGTAACCATTACGACTGCGCAGTGAATACAATCTTGCCAGAAAAATTCCTGCAGTGGCAATTTCAAAAGAAAGGACAACAAATCGAATCCCATATATTGTGATGCCGCTCTTCATTGCAAAAGTAGCGTACGCCGTCGTAAACGGGGCGAGTGACGTGCAAATGAACCCGATCGCCCGCGACTATGTAAGCGCATTCGACTCGCGCTAAGAAATTTAGCCATAAAACCACCCCATTCGCCGGTACCTGTCGTAATTTTTGCCCGGTACACTTGGCACGCCGTTGTATCATTCCCAATTAGTCTCTCAAAGTACACTGTGCGGTGAAGACGTCATAAATAGAACTTTACGAGTGCGCCGGATGGCCTCTAATAAACTTTGCGTTTAGTGCGGACTTCGCACGGTTTAAGGCCGACTTAGCGTCCGAGCAACAATTACTCGCCAGTGTTGAGTTTTATAGGTCGCGTAGAACTAAAATTTCTTACTGTCTTATATTGCCCGTTGACTTCGGAATGTGACGCGTCGCTTTTGAATTTTATCAAACAATGGGATGCGTTTGTGCAGTTAATAGCGTCTGTAGCTTCAGTACTTATTAAATTTTACCATTACAGAATGTAATTGCGAACGATTTAATGGCAGAATGTTATTTAAAGGTGTATTTTATTATTATTCATTTATTCAAAAATCCTATAAATAACATTACCTGAGTTCATTTCAGATTCGGGGGCAAAAAATCGATTTCATTTTTAGAAAATTTCCTTTTATCCCTGTTTTCAAGGAATGAAAAATATCATTCGAATATGACGGTAAATTTCGCCGAAAAAAAATGTTATAATAGCTCGGTCGGTAATCGGGCGTCCCCGAAGGCTGCGGTCCTCCAGGTACTATCTATTTGAACACACAGTAATATAAATTAGTATTTATGAGATAGGCGGTGACACAAGGCGGCTGAACTGATTATAAATGGTACACGCCCATGTTCATGAATAACACAGTTATATATACAACCGTTACCCTACTCGACAGGCGAAAGTATAAAGCAAACTGGTATATCTGGTGACTGGTGGTCGACTTTATGCAACAACAGACACCGCTACCAGCTCTACCACAGTGCTGAATAATTATCCACTATCGTTTCGTGTTTCCGTCGCGTCGTATCCCATTACAGGCCGCCTTAGCCCCCAAGCAACGGCTCAGCGCGGCTCACCGGATTCCCGGGACTAATAGAAGCACGCGTTCGGCTAAAAAGTCACGCGCACGTCCTAGCAAACAACACTGGGCAGTAAAACGCTCGCTCTTAACAGCCATCGGACTCGAGCGTGGCCAGGCGACGGGCGGTTTTTAAACACGTCCTAGCAAACAACACTGGGCAACGCTCATAAAACGCTCTTAACAGCCATCGAACTCGAGCGTGGCCAGGCGACGGGCGGTTTTTAAAGCCTCGCCACGGACCTCTTTTATTGCGCTCAGTTCGCGCAGTAAAGGCGCGCTTTACTATCGCCGAGTGGCGGAGTGATTAATAAGTTTTAATTAGTCATTTCGTAGCCGCACTTCCGGCGCGGTTCGAACTCATGACTTCGCCGTATAAAGTCGTAATTTCGTTCAGTTTCGTTTCCCTTTTATAATGTTAACCATTGTATCCTATTGTCGTGCCGTTTTTCCTATTCCACTGCATCATACAATTTTTTGTTAAAAATTTTAGTGAAAGCAGCAAAAAGGTTTATTGATTTTTTGTTTTCTCAAGCGCCTGTCTCAATTTCTACTAGCAAACTTATTGTAATCAATTATGTGTTATTTTTCTATGATACAATAAAAATAGAATAGTAATAACAGTAGACAGAATTTTAAGTGCATATATACATACATCTTTGTCGTGTTAGAAGAATATTATATAGTATAATATACCCTTTTCTGTTATGTAGGCGCTTAAATTTATATAATAAGAGTTTATATAGAAGTGCTCTAATAAGATATGTGGTAAACGAGTTATGTCTATTTACCATGTTCCCTTACCCTCGACGACCTCAAAAATTTTTTGAGTACAAAACGTACATCTATCAATAAAAGATAATCTTAAAACTTCACCTGAAGATTCAATTTGATGCAATTCAGTTTATTATTACATTTATTGTTACCAAATATTTAAACTTATAATTATATTAAATGTTGTAATTAACTTATATCATGTTATAATAGCAACTGCCCGCGACTACGTCTGCGTAGGATAGGCCGAAGGCGTAACATTCAGACTCAAAGACAGATATACATAAAACATGTATATAAATTATAGTCTGTCTTATTGATGATGTATAAGCTATATTATTGTAAAGTTTCATTAAAATTCATTCAGTAGTATTTGCGTGAAAGGGTAACGAACATCCATCCATACATACAAACTTTCGCCTTTATAATTTTAGTAAGGATTTATAGTTAACCTTGTACCTGTATGTGAGGAAATTAATTTAAATTGTAAAAGAACATATGTCGTTCCCTCCGGCTACATCTTGTGAGGGGAGATGCCAACTATGTAAAGTTCCATATTTCCATCAAAACATAATTGTTATACAGTGTCAGATAATGTTCTCAATATAATCGTTCTACTTTTAACCGAAAATAAATGCAGACTGTTTGTGTATCGAGGAGAAGTTAAATGATTTATCGTATTTCGAAATACATTCAAAAATACCCTTTCTTAGCAGTCGCATAGGGTGCTATTTAAATTGGATGCATTCGTAAATCTTTATTATATTATCTTGGATCCTTAAAACCGAAGATTGATTACGACATCGATACAGTCCTTTTCGACAATATTTTATCGTATAGTAAGATTTCGAAAGAGTGTTGTGCTGTAATAAATTGCATTCAAATTAGGTCAGTTGCGAATCTTGACAACGAAGTTTAATAACGAAATTCAATGAAAGTCAATAAATAAACAATGTTTTTCGATTTATTTACAATCTTATATCGCAATAAGGTTGTCGTTAAACGACTTTCTATTAGCAATCTCTGCTTATGGACATGCGTCGTTAATAAAACTAATGATACAAAAAAATATTTATTGGTCTTGTAAATGTTTTAGTACTGTATTTAACATATGCAAAAATGTATGACATAGTTTGTTAACATTCGCGTTTTCCTTGTTAGAAATTTTATGTGCTCCTACCTAATTTTCTCTGTAGCAACCCAAGGTGGACATGGAGATAAATGCCATTGTCATTAAGTCCGGCTTTGTACTATTTGTGCATAATGACTAAATGAATAAATACTTGTAAATAAGAAAAACTCTCAACACAGCATAGTTAAAAAACAAAGTGTAGTATGCATTAGCAGCTTTACTGAACTCTACGGATGGACTGCCTCGTTTTAAGATATTTAGCTGTCACATGATTAAAATGCCACTAGCTTAGTCTATTATAACCTAGAATGTTGTATGTAACATATTGTGTAATTTCGTTATTTTAATAAAATAACATATCTCGTCTCTTTTCATCCTAACACGCAGATCCCTGTCGCCATATACAGTCACAAATGCGACAGTTAATTTTGTTTGAAAGGCATTCGCAAAATGGAAAACTCATTGACGCACGGCATTGAGAATGGAACCTAAGATTGTGACAAGTCTGACATGAAATCATTCCTTCAGCCTTACACCGATTCCTTTTTTTCAGAGGATACAAAAATTAGCAAAGTAAATGTAGACAAGTATTTACAGTAGGTATTGCATTTCGTCTACGTGTTGTAGACGAAATGCCTTAATACGAAATACCTCAAACACCCTTAGGGATATCTCACTCACCAGATAAAACGCAGTACAGCACTTCCACTTCTCTGCGGTCTTCCGTGAGGTTATGGTACTTCCCCAGACGGACATGCCCATTCGCGCAACAGCGGAGACCTTTGGTGGCCCTACCATTTATTCTTAAAATTTCATGTGTCTGTGACTTCAACCGATTCTTAAAATTTGACCAATTTTTTGTGTAGGCCAATAGTCATCGCCACACATTTCGGTCTCAGTTCTTAATGCATTGTTCCACATTAATGTACTCCTTCAACCATATCTTTATCTATGTATAAAAACCTGAAAAATTTGTAAGCACGACGAACCTGGCTGTCAACGACCGTGTAGATACACGCGAATATTTGTCGTCTTTAATGCATTCACGAAAACGGGAGCCGTCTACGAGGCGGATCGTTTCGCCATTAGATGGCATCTAGCGCTCGTCGCTTGCCATCGACCTCGGGAAGCGGTCCCGTCTAGTCCGCATCTGAATCGCGGCACGTGTAACCTTGAATGTAGATCATTCGATCGTCGCCGAGCTGCAATAAAGCCACTATGCCGAATGGGAAAACCGTAAAACGCTGGCTGGATACGTCCCGAGGTCCGTACCGAGTCGATATTATCGCATTCTGAATCCCCGCTCGTTCGTTTCTCATCCGGAACAATGTTGCTTTGCTCGCGGAAACGAAGATTCGAATAGAGAAAGTTTGCATGTATATATCCTCTAATCAGAATCTAATTTAACTTTGACTGAAATTCTGTAATCCATCATGTTTTTCTTAGAGCGTTCTCAACGTGTTGCGTAGACGAATTCTTTATCAAGTTGCTAGCCAATCGCCCTCAAATAACGATCGTTTATTCGTATCTTGAGAATGAGTTTTAGGCGATAGGTTCCTATAATATAAATAAATTAAAAATATTATAAGCCTTTGACATAACGTGGGTTAATAAAATATCATGAAGACATATATGAAAATTATTATAGCGGTGGTTTTCGTGTCACCTGACAACGCCTTTTAATTTATGCCAATTTTATTGTATCAAATTATTAAATAATTCTAGGATTTATTGCTTATTTTGTATAAAGTCAACCGATGTTGTACATTGGGGAAATTTCATGATATACTTTAAACAATGAAAGTTTGAGTTCAAAACCATTAAATTTCGCCTGGCGCTATTAAACGAAAACGAAATATCTTACACACGGTAAGTAAAATCGGTGTATGTCAGAAAATTAATGTCGTTCTGCTCGCCGTGAGTTGTTCGCTTGGCATCTTCTGCGTAAAAAAGTAATTGGGGTCATTCTTGTTGCAATTAATTCTTGAAAATATGTATTTTAATAGTTTTTATTAAAGTATTTCGATGAGCTCCCGTGAAGAAGAAACTTCATTTTGAATAAAACTTATAATTAGACTCCATCAGTATTCTCAGACCTAAAATAGAACTCCTGTGTTGTTGGCAAAGTGGCTAAATGGCTCACCGTTATATGCAGCTATGTCTCTGTCATAAAAAGGCAGGAGCTTTACTAAAACAATTGTTCAAGTCTAGAAACGTTAAATCTGCATGTCTTAGTTTCTCAGTCTTATTTTTTTTATTAAAAACATTGCCCTTACTTTAGGATAACATTATCCTGTGTTGTAAGGACGTTTTCCACGCGGACAAAAACCCAGATACGAAACAACTATCTGTGGGTCACACAAATAGTTGTCCCGTGTGGGCATCGAACCCACGACCCCCGACGCCGAAGCCAATACCTTGGCAACTGCGCCACGGAGTCATCGTATGTATAGTAAGTGTATGTATTAATGGGCAGGTTCGTTGGGGAAAGTAGCGCGTCCTCACAGTTTAAGTATTTGTACTATTGAATTTCTAGTCAGTGAGGTGATACGCTGCAGTTTCATATCCTTACCTCTTTTAGGTGAGGATATAAAACTGCAGCGTCAATCCATTCGCGACATCGCCTGCTCGACGCTTTGACGTGAATGAGGTGTTGCCTATCAGCAAGTAAGGGATTAGCATCGTATGACACACGCGGCTTCAGGTAGCGATCGGCGGGCGCCTCGTGCATACATTGTGTGCCGACCTTGACCGCTTCGGTTCACAGCCGCTCGAAAATAGATAATGGCGCTCGCATTTGCAGTGCATTCTCCTACGGACATAATCGCGTAAGAGCTTCGCCAATTGCGTCATCTGCTTTCGGGTAGGATAGCATCTCTCCCAATCTCTATTGTTGGACCATCTCGTGATATTGTACGAACAATAGTCGATGAGGTGAACACTTAAGAACTACAGTACTTGTGTCAGTTAAAGGGGATCAGGCAACACAGAACACAGTTTAAGTGAAAACTATTTTTAAAATTTGTAGAAAAAAGTATCGCCATTGCTTTTTAGTAATTAAAATTTTTATGGTGGTAATTTCTGCACTTAAGATTAAACGTTCAAATTTGTAGAAAAAAGTACGAAAAGGATTTCGCCGCCGTGGGAATCGAACCCGCTTCTTCGGGATTCGCACCCGGACGCTTTAGCCACTAAGCTAAACTGCTTATTGCCACACCGAAGAAAAT